TTTCTAAGCTTCAATTGAGATAAATCAAAATGTCTCTTGATCAGCACTCACATTTGAAACTTCACATTAACATCCAAAGATATTATGATCTGATAGTTAAAATTAGTACAGAAACCAACGGTATATTTGATATAAGAGGGATTATGCATTCATTTGTAGTTAAATTACAGGCATTAAAAGAATTAACTGTCTTTGCTTGATTACCTTTTACTTGTAAGTATAGATAATTAATGTGCACAAAAGGTATGTTCTGAAATGTCTAGGAAAAGGTCTAGAAATTCTTTAAGTGATTCTCACCAATAATTTCCTTACCTCTTTCTTGGCAAGGACCTGATATTCTTTGTATCTAAAATCAAACTAAATATACAAAAGGAATAAAGCACGCGATCCTTATCAAAAGTAATAGGACTTAAAGAATGTCATAAGCTGGTCTACTGACACATAATCCTTGGTAGAATTACAGATTCAAGGTCGTATAATATGCTGAAGCTAGAAACTAGGGCAATTCTCATGGTGTTTCTAGTAGTGCAATCATGTAAATATTGTATGACATTTAAGAGGGATTGAAGGAAACATCACTATGAGAAAATGGTCTCGGGCTGCTGTCTTAGCAACATTTTCCTGAACTGTCTTTGTGATTGATATAGTACAACTGCTCTTAAATGCGCTCTATTGTTCTTGTTGTTATGATTTTAAAAAATACATTAATAACATTTTCTCTTCATTTGTTTAAATCTGAGAAGTACTTAATCCCATAGTAGCAGCTTCACAAATTTAAAGCTAGCTTCCAGTATTCCTATTACTGATTTTAGTAGGAGAGAATTATATAGTGGTAATTTTCCTCAGAGGTCCTTAACAGTCAAGCAATATTTTCTGCTACAAAATAATACTGGGAAGAGTATAATTCAAATGTTAGAAACAGAATGGTGATGTAGAATAAAAATCTTCCCCCCAATGAGAATCAATAAATATGATGGCTGAGTTGGAATTTCAGTGCATGTTTACTGAAGTCTTCTACCAATCAACTGAATTTCCAAAAATGCATTATCTATTAAGGTAAAATTCTAGCTATATATTTGAATACACAGAGCCCATTTGCACAAACTATATAGCACGCTGTTATCTGAACCTCTCGTTTTCATTACAGTTTCTAAGGAATGCGTCTTTCATCAAAAATAAAAGAAAGCAAAGCATGTTTCATTATTATTGTTTTAGGTCAAACAGATGTCTCCTGAATAAGTAATCCAGCTGAAACAACTCACAACCGTCCCCAGTTTAATTCTGCTTAGGAGAAGACAGCAGAGTGCCTAATGGACTACGTAGTAAGGAAGCAGATTTGCAAAATTGAAAGTCTCTCCAGTTTCCTGTAACTCCTTACTAGCTAAAAAGGAAAGCTTTACACAGACTACAATAAACAAAGCTCTTGTTCACGTCACTCCCACAAAGTATGTGAATAACAGTTGTTTTTCTTTTCTATATTTATGACATTGTTCTACTGTATCGATTCATCTCATTTTCTACACGCTGACCAAGCAAATAATAGGAAGAGAGATCAACACCAGGGGACTAAACATTTCCCTCTGGAAGTGTAAGGTTTTCAATTCAAACGCCTATCATGTAACTTTTACAATTATCAGTGGTATTAAGATAGTCAAGTTTAGTTCTGACATGACACAATCATATTTGAAAGAGATTCAAACAGAAAGGTATTCGTTAGAGGAAGTATTGGTAAAATCAACATTTCTTGCTGGAATTAAACTAGTCCAAAATTATTTATCCTATATATTCTGGTTAAAAGGATGGTAATAGGATGCAGTGTTAAAAATTAATGTTTTATGAAAAATTTGCTATAATTCTGTGTGTTCTAAAAGTATCTTACACAGCATTTGTCCTGTGTAGATGCTCAGAATCCATAGTTATGTTCTAAAAGAATGTGTCTGAAAAACGAAACTGTTTTTCAGGCAGGAGACATAATATTTGCATTACTTTGCAAACTGAATACAAATCTAAATTACATATTTTCTAGCAAGACAAAATTAAAATATTATGCATCACTGGATATAATTACTGTGAATGCCTTCTTTCTCCTCACCAAGCTGCTGAAGTAAAATAATCACACCATGTTGACGTTTTATGAAAATTATGAAAGAAAAAGAATTTAACCAAAATCCTTCATATCCAACAGGGGTGAGGCATCCTTGCTATATATAAATAGAACTGAAACCTTATGAAGTAGTGATTCTGTAATGCATGAGCTCAACCCCCAGGGCCTTTTGCACAGGGAAACAAACAATAGCAACAATACAGAAGCACTTTACCAGGGTCCTATTCTGCATCTTTTCTAAACTTTCCAAGCTTAGTTTACATTCCTGGGATTGATTGGAGATTCCCACTCTGGGTACGAATGAGCTATTGGGGCCATGTAAGAATATTTAAAGACAGAACCACCTGCCAAATGAAACTATAGTGTTCATAGTCCAACAAATCACAGACTAGCCATTCTGCATAAGCCAGGCAGGTTAATTCAAACAAACAACTCTGTTTACCTATGCAAGAGGATGAGAACCACAGCAGAAAATCTAAATCTATTAATACAACTCAAAGCACATCGTGCTATTAACCAAATCGTAAAATATAAAAATTAGAATTCACAGTTCTAATTGTGGATAACATCAAAGTTTCATGAAAACAACAGAAAACTGCGAAACTTTTGAGGGTAGAGAATATTGCAGAGTTTACAATATTTAATGAAAAAGAAGCTTTTAGGGACTGCCCTCTGATAAATCCTTCTGATAGTACCATAACTGAGCCCAAAATTTATTTTGGTGAGCAAGACGGTTGGTTAAGTGAATGTTGCCATTTTACAAGCTTCCTTGCCACAGTTGTGAAGTGAATCAGTTCTTCCCACAGTTGTCAAGTTGGTATCACGGTTGTGAAGTGAATCTGGCCTCCCCATTGACTCTGCTTGTCAGACGGTCGCAAAAGGTGATCACATGACCTCGGGAAACTGTAACCGTCATAAATGCACGCCGGTTGCCAAGTGCCTGAATTCTGATCAGTGACCATGGGGATGCTGCATGCTGGTCTTGTGAAAACTAGTCGCAAATCACTTTTTTCAGTGCCCCTGTAACTTCGAACAGTCACTAAACGAATGGTTGTAAGTCAAGGACTACCTGTATTTCTTCCAGGCTGAAACTCAATAAATCTTGCTTGCGATTTCCTTCTTCCTTTCTGATATAATTTCTAGAACGTAGAGCCTTATCACCCACATTCACTCTCTAATACATGTATACACATATAGCTAAAACAAAAACCCCAAGCAACTTATTATACATTAAACAGACCATTAGAAGTAATTTATTTATTTAGGCTTTTATATAACTCTTTTAAGATATTAAATGTGCTGGGCATTCAGTGGCCTGTTCATGCTTAATATTAAGCTGTAATATGATTGATTTGTTTTGGCGTAATGTGAACCAAGCTACTATGGCTTATTCAAAAAAAACACCATGGTCAAAAAGTAAATACTAGTTTAACGTTATGTGTGAACCATGCCATATCACCCTAATCCCAACAAATCTTATAGTTAAGTATTATTTCAAAATGAAATAGAGCAAGCTTGACTGATTTAATTCTAAATCACTGCTCAGTATCATTTCTCACCTGTAAGCTAAAAGCATCTACTTTGGTTTTCTGCTAGCTCTTGTGTTATGTTTAATAAAAAAACAATATGCAATTCTTTTAGACGATAAATATGTAAACATGAATGGCTAATTTATCATTATACTAGAAGTTTCTCAAGAGAATGTAAAATAAACTCAGACGATTTGACAATAAAAAGATTACTTATCAGTGATCTTATATACAATTATCAGAAAGATCTGAAGTGGATAAAAGATTTTATTGTTTGAACATAGGACTGAGTTTGAAACAGAATTATGTATTAATGATCAAGATGCTATTGCTAAAATGTATAAACTTTTGTTGAAATATATGACAGAAAAACAAGTAAAAGAATGTATGCTAAAATGGATTAAAATTTCTAGTTATTATAGAGCAATGGGAAAATGGGTCATTGAAAGGACTGGAATTTATCCGGTGGACATGTAAAAAGGCTAAAAACTTTTAGATATAAATAATAATTAATTCAAAAGATTTTAAAGATTAAAGTATAGCTGAAGCCAAAGGCAGTATCTATAGTTGACTGGAAATCCTTAATAGATTTTTTTTTGCATGAAACATGAAACAAATTGTGATTTGTTGTTTTAATTAGAAATAATGGGTAAAAGAAAAAAGTTAGCTTTTCTTGGTAACCATACAGCAGAGGAAATCAGAAGCTTTCTCGTATTTTCTGTACTTTGGTTTTTTCCTTCCTCTCTATCTTCTCCTTATCCTGTATCAGTTTGTTGGTTTTTATATTCTTTTCAGTTTTTTAAAAAATAAAATGTATATAAAACACAATCTGCAATAGTTTAACTATGGTTTAATAACAACCTTGGATTACAAAACATGATTTGAGCTTTCTGGATGTAAACAAACCATTAATTTAAAGCCAGCTCTAGTTTCTATCCAATGGAAAACTGCTATTAGTTGAAAACACCAAATGTTTCTAATCTTTTCCCCCAAAGTCATGCCAGAGTAGCAGAAGTAGTGTGGGAAAGAAAGTCTGAATCCTGTTGATGTACTACTAAATTATAGATTCTGTTATGCATGAATGCAGCCCCTGAATTAATGAGACAAGCAAGATTTGAAAGAAAGCTACTTAGTTCACAGAATAGAACATCAACCAGTAAAGATCAACTGCTCTCATCACATTCCTCAATAATTATATAATCCTGTTTATACTTACAGAGAAAGGAATCCACTGACTTCAAGAGGGCTTGTTTATATATACTTAAGAGGATTGTTTGATTTCCCCCCCCCCTCCTAATCCCTTAAAAACACAGTAAAAGTAAACTAAGAAACAAGTTTCTGGCAATTAGTTTAACTGTTGTACATACCGGTTGAAGAAACAGGTAACTATAGTCCCAGCCACAGTCATTTGCTGACATGCTAGAATAAATTCAGTGGTCCAGATAAGCCCCAGTAAATGATACCACCACATGTAGCGGATTCCAAACCGAATTTTGTATTTCACTTGGCCTCCTGAAATGACTTGCGCATTGCCTATAAATTTAAGGCAAAAAGAACAGACATCAATATTCTTCTAATCTCCTTTTTTAAAGTTTGGCCAGCTGTTATTCAACTGTTTATCATATTTTAGAAACAATTTATAATGAAGATATTTGGAACTGATTATAGATTAAAAAAATAAGATAATAAAAACAAATAAAATGTCAGACTATGACACAGTGTTTATGCTAAAAAAATAAAAAACTAGGGATAGATTAAAAGCAAGGAACAAGGTGCAGCCCCAAAATATTTATGTTACATCAAAATAAGATACAAGTATAACTATAAACTTTTAAAACATCGAGACAGCTTTGTATACAGGTAGTCACAATTGTGACTAGCAATTCCATTATTAGGTGAAATGGTCACCTGTTCCTATGATCTTGATGCAGCTTTCCTTTGCTTTACAGACCAGCGAAGGTCATAAATGTAAGGATTCATCAGAAAGTTACTTTTTCATATCACCATAGTAAATGTGAACAGTTGTTAAACCTGTATCTTCTACCAGGCATGTCAAACTCGCGACGTCACGTGACATCGCGGAACGTATTGGGCCGGTTTTGCCATTGCCGGCAATGGGGTGGGCGCGGCTTCCACGTGACGCGTCCAGCCCGCGGGCCGACAGTTTGTCACCCCTGAATTAGAACTTAAGGTATCAAGTATAGCTAACATAACTTTAACATTCCACGGAGAGAAAACGATTTATAAAATTAAAAAGATTGCAAAAGGAGATAAGAATATGCATCTGTACTAGAAAATACGTACAGAGAAAAGGGTAATGTATTCATGTCGTACTCTATTATTTTTTTTTCTGAATACCTTACCATGGGAAAGAAATGCAAAACAAACAAGGAAACTTTCTAACAGATCTAGTGGCTGTTACCGTTCTATCAATTTCAGACATTAACATGTCCATTATGAATTAGAACCTCTAACTGCTTCTAAATGGATGGCTGGGCAGGGACTGAAAGAGAAAAAGCTTCGTAAGTATTCTAAGTGAAGCACATTGTCTAGGAAATATGTGACCTTCAAATCACACTCCTACATATAAAGGCGAGCTAGCTGTCTTTTCAAGGTTATAGAAAGTGTTTCCTTGTAACCTAACAACACATTAGCTAAGGTCAGCTACAGGAAAACTGCACATGACTACTGATAATGCCAATTTTCTTTTTCAGTCACACTAATTTGTATTTCCATGTTAAAGCAATAGAAGACAATAAATAGAGTGTTAAATGGTCATTTTAAAATATCTACTAGATATTTAAGTGGTAGAACAGAAAGAGCAGCATTTAATGTCAGCTTTCAGAACCCCCCACTTCAAGCAATGGTTTGGCTTAGATTCTCATACAGGCAGGAGCAAATCACTTCCATTAGTTTTGCGGCAATGAGTCCAGAGCTACTTGAATCCTGAAACCTAAACCAGCATCATAATTAAATTTGGATTGGAACAGAGCAAGGTCACTTGAAGATAAGGCTCACATCCCACTAAATGACTAGCATTGTGAATCAAAGGCCACATTTTTTTTCCAGGAGGATGGCATCTGCCAAGGATTCCTATATACTGTAAATATAGGTTTCACTGTAATATGGAAAATAAATCATGCTATTTTACACATCACCCTGTTTTCATTACCTTAATAATTCACAGACTATAATAAAATTAATTATAATGTTTCACTTCAATCCATAGAGTATTCTATAGTCATTTTTAAATATCAACATTTTTTTAAAATTTGGAAAGGTTTGGGGATATATCTACATCAACTGAATAGTTTTTTCAATTACTTTGAAGTTTTGCAAATAGAAACAAAATTACGTAATAATGTTTCCTTTGCACTAAAGTGGCAACTAGCTGGCTGACTTGTTAATTTCTGCATTCATATTGTATTCTCATACCATTGTACTCATACTGATCCTTACCTTGTGATCTGTGGACTTCTGACCCTCTCCTTTATTTCCATAGTAGAAACAAAACACTGCCTTAGCAGGTGTATTAAATCATACAATTAAAATTATTAAGTTTTCTTAATTCAAGCAAATACTATGCATTTTGAAGAAGTACAGGTTCACCAATTTTACCATCTTGGCTCAAGACCATAATCATCCAGGCCTCCTTAATTGCAAGTAAGAGAAAATGGATATTCTTTTTGCAGGAAATGCTGTTTTTATCTTAAGATCAAATAACGGGAGACCAAGAGAAGTAAATATACATGGCTAGGATATGCTGTTCATAAAAAGACAACTTAAGCCAATATCTATGTTAATCAGATAAAAACCAATTTAGGGTCTAGCTTTACTGGTTCTAGATCAACAGTAAAGTAGATCCAGATACTAGAAAACAAAATAGCTTGTGCAACACTCACGCACAAACATACTTACACACCTTGACAATTTTAAAAACTTTTGATCATCAGGGGAAAATGATATATTTATGTAGCAAAGAGGATTGATGTAACATTACTGACCTGCAGTTCCTAAGCTCAGGAGCACAGCCACCCAGTTCATCCAGAACAAAATAAGTATTACAAACGTCCAAATAGGTTGAAAATACAAAAAAGGGGCCTTGCCAATTATTTTATTGGCAGCCTGAAAGAGCTGAATAATCAAGTGAATCTTCTTCCTTAATAACACTATCAGGACAATTAGGATCACCTATAAAAAGAAAAATAATGCAGTAGAATGGTTCTATTACCAAAAGAGAAACAGTCTTTAGGAGCTGGACTCAATAATTTTGAGATGGGTAGTCTTACAAATCTACATTATAAATACACCAACACAGAGAGTAAAATTTCAATATCGTATTTCAAAATCATACAACACGTCTGCCCAAGAAAATGTGTAGAAGATACACTATAAAAACCATAGCTTCTACAGAGAAAGAGCTCAAATATAACTTCAATAAATGAGAGGGTTTTTTTGGTTGGATGCTTTTTTTTAAAAAAAAAAAACTTTTTTAAAAGTTTTTTTACTGATCTAAATATAAACAACTACAATTATACAGCAGGAAAATGCAACAACATAAAGACCAGTCATATGTATGATTATATGTATGATTAAAAATGAGGTGCAGAAAGATCTCTGTCTTAACAGTACAATGTTAAAAGTATTAAGCTTATTCAAAATATACTTTTGTGTATTTTATTGTTAATACAGCTCTCTTCCTCAATGTATCTGCTGCCCCCTTCTGCCAGCAACTGGATACAGTGGTTAATGAGGCAAAAACATTGCTACTACTGACTCTTGGGGCCCCCAAATCTCTATTAATTGAATCTGATGATGGACACAAAAGCCTAATTCACATTGGTACAATGCACATGTGCAGCAACTGTGTGCTTTCTCTCCCTACAGCTTAAATATATCCTATTCCACTGTAATCTGATATTTATTAGCTGGTAGAATCTATCAAGTAATTTGATTTTAAAAATTAATACATTCCAAGCCCTATACTACAAGGTTTGAGTCAGTCATGTCGAGTGTATTTTATATCAAGTTCCATTACTGACCAACTGGATCTTCTAATAGTATAGATTAGTTCAAAACAAATAAATTGTATCCAGGCATCTCTGCAATCTGACTTATTTGGATATTATGACTGATGCTATTACTTTTCACGTATCAGTCCTCTGAATGTCCTTAAATAAAATCTTAGCAGCAATTAATATAAGAAGGGTATAGTGAAAAACAAACGTGTCAATCAAATATAATTTGAAAAGTTTCAGATTGACAAACATGAGATATATTTCTGACTTAAAACAGCAACACCTTAGGTGGGTCAGGTATTCACAGCAAGATCCAAGGTAACAGGACAGCCCCATATCTCCTAGCATTCAGTAGTGTGCATGTTTTTGTTATTGTTGTTCAATAATAGCCATATCAAGGAAGGATAATTCATCTGAAGCAAATGCTGATTTGTGTATGTTCAACTGCACTAACACTGACTTTTTACAGGTTATGTATACCTACTAGAAGCAATTTAATTGCTAGAAGCAATTAAAAATAAGAAACTAATTATAGGCTTTCAGTTTAGCAAATACTTCTGATGAAGTCCCATTTTATCCTATATTAAATAAACTATCCACAGAATATTACTGATAATATACATAGATGTCTTACCACAACAAATGTAGATATAATAGAAAGTCCGCATAATAATTTCATATTTTCTTTTTCAGTTTCTAATTCTATGATGGGCCCGCTGCTGTTATTGTAATAAATCCACCACATAACACCTGAGACAACTAGAACAAACACAGAGACCCAGCAATGTTTATTTAATTTAAAAGACAAAGGGCAGCATTGGCATATTAAACTTATCATCAAGCATTTACTCAGCATGATTCAAACTGGAGTTCCAAAGAGACTAAAAAATTAGGTTGGCACAAAAAAGGTAGCACAAACTAAAATTCTACTCTAGTTTGCATTTTTGTGAGACAATACTGTCGATGCATACAATATCACCTTCCACTCCAACTACCTGCTAAGAATGTTTGATTATAACTGGGTTCTTTGCTTATGAAGGCACAGGTGGGTCTGCATCTCCTTAGAGAATCTTCAGCCAAGGAATTTCAGCCAGCAGGGTCCAGAAAAAGAGGCTTTTCTGCCATGGCACATCTTGCCCTCTGGCACATCTTGCCCTGCAAAGTCAGATCTGCTCCTACCCTTTTGGTCCTCCAAAAGGCCTTGAACACCTGGCTGTGCCAACTAGCCTGGAGCCCCAATCGGGATGTGGCACTTTGGAGGTGGCTAATGGAGTAGATAGTAGATCCTACCTTTTCTCTGTGCACTTTGCTCCCTCTCTCTCCATCCTGCTTAATTTTAATTTTTAAATTTAAGATCCTCGTGTATTGTTTTAATGTTTTATAGCGCGCTTTAATCAACGCCTATAAGCTACCTACCTCATACCTTTCGCGAGATGGGTGGCGTGCAAGTTTAATAATAAATAATGTCAGTTACAGATCATTCTCGAGTAGTAGAAAAATTGTTGGAAATATGGCAGGAAGAACTACTAACTGATTTAAATGGAAATCAAGCACTACTTTTGAGAGGAAATTTTAGGGAGAGAATCACTTCCTCTCTTTAGATGCGGTAGAACTGAATGTCTGCACAAGCAAAATTTGCAATGTTCACGTGAATTTCAGTAAAACCCTTTTCCTCCTTACTGTAGTATGTGGTAAAGTTAGGTAAGATTTCAAGTTCTTGGTAATGTAGCATGTTTTTTGGATGCTGAAAAAGCTGATCTATTAGTTCAGAATTTAACAATAAGGGAGAGGTTCAAATTTCCACCCATTTTATTTCACAGAGTACTGAAAAGGGTGATTTGTCTTATGTTGTGAATTTTCTTGCATTACTTGAATAAAAGACGTATCATCATCATTAGTTTTTTTTCCTTGATCTCAATATTCCGGGCAAGAATAAATGACAAAAAGAGATAAGAATATAATCAATGACATCTTCTCCCCTCATTGATAAACAACTACATTGATCTATATGATTACCACAACAAATATAATTGTAATTATCATCCCAAATTCAAGACTGATTCCTGGAAATCAATTCATAGCAATAGGTATACAGCTTTTAAGATAATACACCTCTTAAGATTATATTCAAAATGGTTATGTACAGCTTCCCAAATGTTGTGTTTGATGGATTCTTGCAAGTATTGGCATATCCTATAGTACTTTAATGTATGCAGAAAGAAAATGTTTTAATCACATTACTTATCTCACCTAAGAAAGTTTGTCTTCTGCATGAGGGGTATAAGCTTCAACACAATATAAAGGAGAATTAATAGGAGAATTTGAAAAAAAAATGTGTCTGTTGATGCAAAGATCTATACCAGTGGTGGCGAACCTATGGCACGGGTGCCAGAGGCAGCACTCAGAGCCCTCTCTGTGGGCATGCACGCTGTCGCCCCAGCCCCGCCACTCCCAGTGGCCCCCTCCTCACCAGCAGCCCCCCTGGAGAAAAGTCGCCCCAGGCGCAGCCTGCGCAGAGCAGTGCAGCCAAGGACATGGCAGCCAGGCAGCGGGGACAAGATTCCGCCCTCGCGCCCGATCGCATACAGATGATGCTGCGGGGCATGGACAGAGGGCGTGGCCATGATGCTGCTGGGCCGCCTGGGCGATTTGCTGTGGCGGGCCGTGAAGGTGGTGGGTGGCCCTGCGGGCAGGAGAGGTGGGGTGAGGCGGGGCAGGGGCGAGGCGGTTTTTGGGCACTCGGTCTCTAAAAGGTTCGCCATCACTGATCTATACAATTTCTGGGAAACTAACATAGGGGCAATTCCTAAAAATGAAATATCCCAACACGATTCCCATAGTATTAACTAATTGTGGATATCTATCCTAGAATTGCTAAACTGGACACCTTCCCTGAAATTGCCCTTAAGTTTTATTTCCAATAATTATGCTTCTTTAGTTTTGCTTCTGTAAAATGGAGCAAAATAAATATATAAATTAAAAATGAAATAAATAGCTTGGTGTTTGGAACTTCATTCCAATTTCATTAGTCAATTTACTTTCCTTTACATATATTTGTCTTTTGGAATGCAGGTATTTTTTTACTAATTCTCTCCACCACCACCCTACACTCTGAAAAACACTTATGTTAAATATACTCAAGAGTCAGGAATGTCTGATCAAATAATTAAGAAGAGAGCAAGAGTTCTCCAAGATCTAATACAAAATTTTCTTATGCTTCCAAATTCCTTCAGATGTCAGAGACTTTAATATTCAAAGTATATGTTTGGATACTAACCTATGAATCCTATTGAAATTATTTTTCATTTGTTAGTAAACTAGGTGACAGAAGAATCAGATCTATTTTTTTCATTAAATCACTTTTTTACTAGTGGTTTTTGAATGAAATATAGAAAGAACCATGAATGTTCAAAGATTTTTTCCCCCTGCAAGTAGCTCTTTACACTGTACGTTTTCTGATTATGTTTTTTCAGGGTATGAGAGTTTTTCATCAGGATGAAAGGAAGTGAAATGCCCTCATGTTAATGTATAACTGGTAAAATAATTTGGCATGAAGGCCAGTTTTATTAAATTGTAAATTAAATTATAATTATAAATACTTACATAATAATCCAAATACAAGTAATGTAAGAAAAATATGGACCACGAGCATATTGATGCATCTGAAGGCTAGCATCATTAGGGCAGACAAAACTGCAACAAAAACAATTGAATAGATTGTTTATTTTAACAAGCTAATTAAGTGGAGTACATGGAAAATTTCTTTGGATCTAGAGATGGAAATTGCATTTCTTGCCAATTTGATTGCCAAATATTACAGGCTCCAATGACAGCCTCACTGTGCACATACTGTCTTCGATTTTAACAATAAATTCTATATATCTTCATGCAGGTCTTATCACTTTGAGATTGAAATTAATTCAATTTCTCTTCCAATTCAGTACAATATTTTTATTTAGATTCTATTATACTTATTATTGTTGTTTATTTTTAAGGATACATGATCAACTTTCCATTTTTCTTATGCTGTTCATTTAATTTTCATTGCATTTGTATTCAGAATTAGTTCTCTCTTTGTAAAAACTGAATTACCGGTACATAATTTTTAAATATCATGTATTAATCTTTCTGAACCAACAAAAAGTGTAATGATAATCATTGATAAATATATAGGTGCATTTGTATGTGTAAGAATCATGTGAGTGTGTATTTAACGTTAGTAGATTATCAATTGCTAAATTCCGAAAGAAAGTAAAGGATGTAATTAAGGAAAAGGTCAGAATTCATGATATTTTAATAATGATTAAACTACAGGTAGTCCTCATTTACCAACCTATGACTGGATCATAAAGTTCACCATAACATGATTGCATCAACTTATGACAGCATTTCTGACAGTCTCAATTGCTGTTGTTAGGCAAATCCTGTGTGTCAAATCTGACAGCCATTTGTGACCTCCTTGTTGGAAGCCATCAGTGAAAGTTGCAAATGGTGTTCATGTAATCCTGGGACTCTATGACCACTATAATTGTGAGTTGGTTGCCAAGTGACCAAAGCACATTACTGTAGGGATGCTGCAACGGCTGCAATGATGAAGACCTGTTGTAACTCCCCCTCATTCATCACTATAACTTCAAACAGTCACTGAATGAGTGGCCGTTAAATGAGAACTACTTGTATTCTCTTTCTTGAAAAACAAACATTTTAAAAACACAACATACAATTCTTAGGATAATTCTTATGATTAAGAAGCTCTTGTTTTGGTTTTAATTAATCACATCAATTAGCACTGAGATAAAAGTGTTTTCCTACTTTACTTTTTGATATTCATACTGAATATCAAACTACTGAATGGAACTACTGTGTATGCTCACAAGCACTTCAAATGTATACCTGAATCTCATTTGCTTCTCACTTCTGAATGTGTTAGAATGAATATTTTGACTGGTAATTATTATGCACATCGTAAATGGTGAAATTCTCCCCAGCAGCAGCTGTTTTATGAAGTGGTATTTTAAAAATTACCTATGAGCTCCTATTCTTCCCTCTCTACTCCATTTTTTTGTAATGTATTTATTTTATTTATTTATTTATTTATTATTAAACTTATATGCCGCCCTTCTCCCAACAGGACTCAGGGCGGCTTACAGCATATTAAAACAATACAAACACTATCCCCAATAAAAACCAATTAAAAACAAATATTTAACCGCTGTGTTACCATTAAAATTCTAATTAAAATTGTCCCTATTTAAAATTCTCCCTAGGCCAGACCCGCTTTCAGAGAAATTTCTGCAGAATTCAAAAGTTTGCACACCTCTCTGGATTCATCTGATCAGTCTTATAAAAGTCTGGCTATGATTTTGGATAGATTTTGTGTGTCCCCCTCTCCCCCGTTTGCGCAACATTAATATGGGCATATTTTTCTTTAGGATAAATATTCTGTATCTTTTCTATACTTTAGCAAGAAGAAAATCTTCTATTACTTATTGAGATACATTACTGATATGTAGAATGGAGAATTTTCCAACTAAAATATAGGATCAGATATATTTTTCTTCACGGGTCATTTTATCTTTATTTGTTTGAAGATAACATAGGTAACAGAACAAAATTGCATACATCTTGTAATGCACTAATAGCTTTTTTAAAATATAAAAATAATTAATGTTTACATGAAACAAACAGACTCAACTTACCTAATGAAAGGATGCACAATCCTGTTACTGTATCTCTTCCTGCCATGAGCCCACCCAGAATACGATGAAAGAAATCCACCTCATTTACCACATCTATCAATACAGGTGCGAAATTGGAATAGCATTTGTGGTTCCGCGGAACACATCGATTAAACAGCGGAAAAGATAAGCTGGGATGATTAAAATGTATATATAATAAATGTTAAAAAGCGAACACACTGGAATGAAAGTCGCATCCTCCCTTGCACCTTCATACACTTTCCCCACAGCCTCTCATGCACCCTCCCCTGCACCCCTTCTCACATCCTCCCCATCTGGTAGCAGCCACTGATTGCCTGAGAGCCTGGGACTTGCAACTTCCTGCTGGCTTTCCCATTGATTTTGGTTGTGGGAAGCTGACAATAACTTGTTTCGCCTAACAATTATAGAACTTAGTGAAAGATGGCAAGATGCAGAAGTTGCCATCGCTAAGCAATGTAGTTCCACTGCTAAGTAACGTACATTACTTAGAGACAGAAATTCCAGTCATAGTTCCCATTTAAGTCAAGGACTTTACAATGCAGAATGCTTAGAACAGGCAGAACATTTAAAATATTCCTTCCTTGAAACTATTGAGTTTTGTTCTGAAAAAAGAGCAATTTTTCAATGCAAAACTAGTAAACTGAATGCAAAATGTGTTTTACTCTAGGTAAATAATACCCACGGTTGTTCTTACCTTGGTGGTACTGGCAGAGCAGGACAAAGTTCAGAAGCTTTGGATCCATCTATACAACTGCTAGCATTCAAACCGTAAACACAAAGGCAAGATCCTACAGAAAACAAAGCCATAAAATAGGTTCATTATCATGTGCAGAGTATTGGAATTATTTTTACTGATTTGATTCCATTTTTTAGGAAAATGTAGATCACATTTTATAATTTCTTAAAAGATTAAAGTTATAGCAAAATTAAAATATAATTAAAAGACGTAAAAATGAAAAAGGGAGAAAGCAGAATGAGTAAATTGGGCAAAATATTCATTACAAAAATCTATATAAATTAATAATTTTAAAGCCAATGTTAATTTTTAGAAATTTTAATAAGCAATTGGTTCCATAGCTCTGACCATCTTGAATAAACTATTCCGTACAATAGCAATAAAATAATGCGCAAGGGCAAAAATTGTTTTCAACCATGTTTATATGAAGTCAATAATTTTATTCAATCTTTTATTGATTAAGCAATTATATTTTTTATCAGACTTCAAAAGATATATACACAAAACCATGCATATAAAGGAACTCATATATTTGGTCTCATACCACTGTTATTTGCAAATAGCTGAATATCTTCCAAAGAATTCAGTTGCTCCTGTGGACAGCTTGATACACATAATGCAGTTGATTTGATATTATGGTTTTTTATTTTCAAACCACATGAATTCAAATAGAACACAAATCTAAGGATGAGAGAGAAAAATCGCTATTTAAAAATGAAATGTGCATTTTACTTTACCTACAATTTTCACCTCGGCATCAAAAGCAGATTGTTTTTCAGTTATAAAGGTTTTTATTGAGTTTTATAGGGTTAGGGATGGGATAGGATCGGGATAGGGATTAAGGTTCAGGGTAGGGTTAAGATCGGGATTGGGATTAGGGCAGGATTGGGAACAACATTGGGGTTACCTCCCAATAATATTTTCAAGCTCTAGCAAACAGACTGTTGTCCAGGTACATATGTTCAGTTAACACTAATTAAGCAGATTGTTTTAAAACTGTAACGAAAAATGAATTTCTATTTAATATCTTTCATACTGCATACTACTGCAATTTTATTCTGACCGATACTGTATAGAGGATAAACTCTAATATTTTATTAAACAAGAAGATGATTTTAAGGCTGAGAGGATTTCCAAGTATACTAGATCTTAGCAAAATATTGTTATAGATAGTTGTGACTTTAGGATATTTATGCATTTTTTCTTTGTGTAAAATACCTGTAGCCCCACCAATTATGGATTTCGGAGGAATCAAATGTCACTTCAAATATAATGGAGGTAAATGTTAAAATAGTATAAATAATAATCTGCTCACTTTTTGTTTCTCATATCTTGTCCTGACAAAGGTGCACCAACCACAGGTGTGTTCCTCCGACCACAAACATTTCCATAGCTATCATATCCAAATATAAGCCTTTCTGTAGCTCCAGCTGTTACAGCATAGCCTGTTATAAACATCTGTAAGCACATGGACACTACTTTATTCTTGGAATTCACATCAATCTGCCATACTGATATCATTCCTTCTACTGAACATTATGGGTCATCTGTTTCAACCTTTAAGAATATTTATGATTCCTTTATAATGCAATTATGTCAAGTGAGGTACTGTATTTATCAGAAGCTGTAACAAGACACTTAATGACTTCAGTAGCTGATAAGATCAGCCTAAAGAATCCCAGATAATCACAAACAGCAAAGTTACTGACAACTGGATTCTCAACTATTTCCAGGAGTCAGTGATTATACTGAAAAACAGTTTTGCTTTACATACTGGTTACTGTTTACAATTCCATAGAGAAGAAAACGAGAGGAAAGATAACAAAATGTTCTGCTTACAATTATAGGGGGATTGTACGATAAAGTTGAAACATTTTCTTCTCTGCTAATATGGAGAACTTTAACGTATCAGGAAAGGCAAAGATTATTTATTGATACCCATAAAATCTCTCATCCAGATAAAAAGAGAAATAAAATGTTCAGATTAGTAACCAGCACCAGTTTAACGGAAAGTGACAGCCTGATTTTCCTTTCCATTCCAGAGCTTGCCCCAAACGTGACCTTAAAATTACTAATAAAGGAAAATATCTCCTTTATTGGTAAATTTAAGGGGAGAACAGCACAGTGGAGATGGTTGATGGAGTTACAAGAAATCTCACCTCCCCATCTTGCCCTCACGGGTCCTTGGTTTTTAATTCTTGCTTTTAATTTATGTTTTAGCATATATATACATTGCTAGACGGTAAGACTCCCAGAGTTACTTTTACCCAAACTAGGCAACATCATCAGTGCTAGTTAGGAGTAGGGTTTGCTCTCAGTTTATATTCTAGTGGCTTGCCCTGTCAGCATTGGGGGGGGGAGGCTTAAAGGTTCTTTGGTTGGGCCAGGGGTAGGCAACCTTGGCTCTTTTATGACTCGTGGACTTCAACTCCCAGAATTCCTGAGCCAGCATGGCTGGCTCAGGAATTCTGGGAGTTGAAGTCCACGAGTCATAAAAGAGCCAAGGTTGCCTACCCCTAGGTTGGGCTGTTTATTGTTAGCTTGTTTGGCCATTTCTTGATTGGGATATTGTTTACATGATTGTTGCTCTGATGTTAATTTTGGAGTTAATTAAAGAGTTTTCATCAAGTCTTCTGACTGCTAGTTGGGGTTCACAGATGCATTCTGTCAGTCTTCTGCCTGTTTGTTCTACGTAGTGGCTGCCGTAACATTACACTATATGTTGTAGTTGACTCCTGTTTTTTCTTCTTCTAGGGCTGCAGGGTCTTTTGGTTTAAAGTTTTTGAAGAGCTTTAGTTAGCTTGTGTGCTATGCTGCTTCCATGTGGTTGCAGTTAGAAGACATGATGAAAGCTCTTTGATTTCAAAACATTCTCAATTGAGAAACTGTGAGCATCCCAGACCCAGCCAAGTCTAAAAACGCTAGGGAATTTCTAGAAGCATGACACACTTATGACAAATTAGCCAGCAATAGACACATAGACATAAACAATATGTATCTGTATGCAAGAGAGACAATCAAGCAAGCCAAAAAGGGAACAAAAACATTAAAACACTTTCCCACCAGCAATCAGGACCCAGATGAGCATAGATTAACTCCAAAATAAACTGAGAGCAAACTCTACTCCTAACTAGCACTGGTGATATTACCTAGTTTGGGTAATGAAACATCTGCAAAAAGCAACCAAGCTTAGAAAGGACTAAGGACCCCTGACCTTATAATTATTCTAGATCAGGGGTAGGCAACCTTGGCTCTTTTATGCTGGCTCAGGAATTCTGGGAGTTGAAGTCCACATGCCTTAAAATTGTCAAGGTTGAGAAACACTGATCTAGACTATAAGAATCTAGGAGAGAGGGAAGGAACTCTTGCTAAAAAGGATTAAACAATCTAATGTCAAATTTGATTTCCCCATATCTATATCCATATATATAGCAATTTGGCAATGAACTGGGTCTACTGGCAAACAACGCAGCTATTTTCTTAAAGAGAAACATATTCAATTGCAGTAAAATACTGAAGCAGCTATGTTACTGCATCCTGCTATAATATAATCAACAGACAGTCGCAAAACCAGTTTAAAATATATTGCAAAATTTTGCTTCCAGAGAAATTTATATGCTCAAAGATCACCCACTGCACTTGAATAAAGAAATATTTTATCAGATTATTCACTAACAATTTCAATCACATCTCATTCTTTTCAACACATTTATTTCAACTGGAACTCTACTTACCAAACCTGCCCAAAAGAGGAAAAATATTATCAACCAAAATTTGTCCGTGCATTTCCTATGTATCAATGGTCGCCACTTTCTTGATTCAGGAAATCTATCTTCAGAAACCTAAGATAAGGATATATTTTAAGGTAGGATATATTTTAAAATTCATTAAACATTAAGGATGTTTAGATAAACAATGCATCTTTTGCATGCCATCCAATGGATAGATATTGGTCACTCAATTTAATCTGCACAAAGCAGACAAGCGTCAGATTATAATAATTTTAGTTTAATCTGTATCAAGCACACAAGATTATAAACTTAAATGTTAAGGGTATTAACAAAAAAAATTAACTTTGAGTCCCTAAATGAACTGGAGGAATTACCTGAAGAAGTAACTTCTCTAATAGTTATCCTATATTTTAAGATTTTTGTATAAGGTCCTTATCTCTCCTGCCAATTGAAGCGTGCTATATGGTTTTAAAAGAAAATAATCTTCAATAGGAATATCCTTGAATTCTATTGTAATTGAGATGCTAAACTTTTGCTGCAGATTTTACCAATAATAATTTTTTACAATTCATACAATGCATTCTAGCGGATTGTTGTATGCCTTAAGAAGTGCTGTTCGGATATGTAATATATATATATAAATGATCGATGGACATGGTTACTTACAACCTTTTGTTGTACCATAAGGCTAAGTAAAACATCAAAACACAAGCATGTACACAGCAAATATTTTGCTTTTCTCTCCTGCAAAGTAGCAGTGCATGTGTATGCATGCAGAGACACATGGGAAGTACTTCTAAAGCAGCCTTACAAAACAAGTGACTGCTATAAAGCTTCAAAGAGTTTTTGTTGTTGTTCCTATTCCTGCATGTTGCAAAGCACCTCTTCAAATACTATGAACAGCTTTACTGTATTGCATAATTGCTCAATATATGTTACTGAAACGAACAAGAACTTACAAGTAATCCTTGACTTATGACCACAGTTGAACCCAAACTTTCTGCTGCTAAGCAATACAGTCAAGTGACTTTTGCCCTATGTTTTGGTCTTTCTTAACACAGTTGTTAAGTGAGTCACTGCAGTTAAGTCAGTAACACAGTTGTTAACTGAATCTGGCTTCCCCATTGACTTCACTTGTCAGAAGGTCCCAAAAGGTGATCACATGACCTCCAGGATATTAAAACCATCATAAATACATGCCAGTTGCCAAGTGCCTGAATTTAGATCATATGACTACAGGGATACTGCAAAGGTTGTAAGTGTGAAAACGGTCATAAATCACTTTTTTCAGTGCTGCTGTAACTTCAAATGGTCACTAAACAAACAGTTGTAATTTGAGGACTATCTGTAATCTTAGGACAGCATTCTCTAGGACTCAACTGATACGACATCAAAAGACGTTGTAAATAAAATTACAGCAATTATATGGCACGTAAATGTTTTGACTAATATAAAGTTTCAGGGCAAATCACTCCACTTGCCACTCATGACCCCAAAGAGCTAGAGACCCTGGTTCAGATTTCTCTTTATTTTTATTAATTTATTAAATTTATATGATGCCCACCTCATTCTGAAAAGCAACTCTGGGGGGCTTACAATTAAAATTTAGCTGTGGGGTTCTTGGTGCTCTCTAAGCTTGATTGTTTTCTTGCAGAGGTTTCATTACCAATCTAGGTAATTTCATCAGTGCTAGAAGGGAGTGAAGTTTGCTCTCATTTTATATACTCTCCAGACCACTTCTACCAACACTGACAGGGCAAGCCATTAGTATATAAAATGAGAGCAAACTCTACTTCTTACTAGCACTGTTGACGTTACCTAGTTTAGTAATGAAAATGTAAGAAAACAACCGAGCTCAGAGAATACCAAGGACCCCACAAATACTACAAATACTCTCTTATATCCGTAAAATAAGCCGGTAACTTGAGGCTAGTCACTAACTCTCAATACAACTAACTATGGGGGAGAAACGTGGATTACAGAATGTGATTTCCAACATTTTTAACTCTTGCAGAAAACATGGGATAGGCCCTTAATAGATAAATAAATAAGCTACACAGGTCATGATCTGAAGCAAGCATAAATGTTTACCAATTACATTATTTTTATACCGTCCCTCCCCCCCCCCGTTCCAAAAAGAGGACAAGGCAGTTCTTCATTCTATCAGCACAATTTTGCCAACATGATTAGTCTGACCACTAAGGATGGATCCAATGCCATTCAGTGATTATTACAGCTCAATGGGACCTAATCACAGATCCATTGAGGTGCAAGGAGCCAGGGCAGGGCAGGGCAGGGCAAGGCAGGGATCCTTCTTTAAGAATCCCTGAAAAATAATCAATCTTTGCTAATCGCACCCACTGAGATACAGAGACCTCTGCTTTTCCCCCACATTGCAACTTTCCCCCCCCCCTCAATTTGCAAACCGAATTGAGTTCCCTTGCAAAACCAACTGCGGGTTGTCCCTTCCTCCCGCGCTACAAATGCACAAGAGGGGAAAAAAAAAAAAACCTCGCCGTGGAAAGAGGCCTCGTTACATGCACCTGTCGGCTTGGGAGGCACCGCAGTCCGCTTTCGCGGGCAGTGCCGCCTCCGCGCGTAACCATGGGGGAAGATAAGAAAACGCGACTTTCTCGTTGGCGACGTCCCGGGCTGCTGCCAAGCGGCCGAAGGCGTCTTTTCCTCTCCGACCTGCCCCAGAAGTTCTTCCTGCAACGGTGAAGGGGGCACCACCCCGTCCCGCCACCCGTCGAAGCTCCCCCCAAGGAAACACCGCGCTTGGTCTCTTACCATATACTCGCCTCTGTAGCACGCCATGCTGCTCCCTCCCCTCCCAGCCCCGCCGCTGGGATAATTTGGGCGGCTCCTTCCTGCTTTGCCAGCTCCGGGAAGCCAGGCCGGGAGGGCCGGGTCGGCCCGCGCTACAGCTGGGCGCGGATTACGGGTCTAGTCTAACTATCCCAGGCTCCGGCTAGCGCGCTGCCCTGCCGGTCCGCAAACCGGCGCTGGAGGGCTGAAGCGCCGCCCTGCAGAGTCGCCGCGCGCTTTTGCGCCCGGGTTTCTCCGCCAGCCTTGCCTTTGTTTGCCTTGCTGAGAACAAGGTGCTCGCGGCGGGGGTTGCGGCGGCTCCCGGGAAGGAGCGGAATTTTTTTTAACCACAACTCCGTGTTCCAGGGAGAGGCGGGGGCCTCAGAGCCCGCTTGTCCCGCCGCCGCGAGATGGGCGGCACATAAACGTCACACATAACCAAGACTAAATGGGACCTTCTTGGCGAAGGACAGAAGGTAACACGCTTCCCGTTCTTGCGATTGGACTTTAACGTGTGTGTGTGTGTGTGAGAGAGAGAGTGTGTGTGTGTGTGTGTGTGTGTGTGTGTGTGTGAGAGAGAGAGAGAGAGAGAGAGATTGCAGCACCTTTTTTATCCCCCCCCCCCCGTGCAAGCGACGGAAAAAAGAAATGCCCACCCAGTTAGTAAAGAAAAGCCTCTCATAGCCTAATAAGCACTTCTTATTTGCACCCTGGGTAAAAACAGGCATTCTGACACGGTGAAAGTGGGCAATAGAGAAGGAACGAGAGCCGCCAGAGCTGCGGAGTTACTCCTCTTTGAACAGGGCTTTTCAACCTGTTCACCCATTGTACCACTTTTAGGATATGGCAACATCCGAGTACCACCAGTCGCCTAGCAAGGTGTCAAAAACTTGATGACCCTCCCCCAAAAGGAAAAAAGTGATAAAGTACAGGTAGTCCTTGACTTACAACAGTTCGCTTAGTGACTGTTCGAAGTTACAATGGCACTGAAAAAAGTGCCCCCCAAGCCACAGCCAAGCAAGACACCTGCCTGCCCGCCCGGCTGCACTCTTCCTCCTGTCCGAGGTTTTCATTGTTGTGAGCATTTCTGTTGAGGATTGGCAGCGGGGGTGGGTGGGGGGTGTTTGGTTTTTATTCCCCCCCCCCCCCGTCTGCTGGGTGGTTGCAGCAGGTTTTGGTCCCTTCACATGACCCTGGGACACTGTGACCGTCATAAATATAAATCAGTTGCCAAGCATCTGAATATAAATCATAAGACCCTGGAGATGCTGCAACATTCCAGCTGATCGGCGCTTCTTCTGGGCTCAGCAGAAGTGCCAGGATCAGTGCCGAGCTCCAGCTGGAGCCTGGCGCTGATCCTGGCACTTCCACTGTGCCCTGACAGCCCCGAAGAAGCGCTGATCCTGGGGCTTCTGCTGAGCCCTGACAGGCCCGCAGCTCCAGCCGTCTCTCACTCAGGTTTGTGCAGTGCTGCCACCGGTTCAGCTCATTCCCCTCCCCTGCTATCACTTTTCTAGGATGGTTGCGTACCACCTGCCAGGTGCCAATGTACCACAGATGGTACCACTGGTTGAAAAGCCCTGCTCTTGAATGTTTTTGTAGTCCTGTCGCTACTCTTGTAATGGGGGAAGGGGAGAAAGTCTGCTCTGGACGGTTATACAGCTGCCTATGTGCCTTCCAATCTTTTTAGTTGGCTTAGTGACTTTCGAAGTTGCAAGGACACTGAAAAAAGTCACTTAGTTGACCATTTTCACACTTACGACTGTTGCAGCATTCCCATGGTCATGTGATTTACATTCGGATGGGTGACAACTGACTCACCTTTCTGATGGTTGCAGTGTCCCGGGGTCATGTGATTAGCTTTTGCAACCTTCTGGCAAGCAACGGGGAAACCAGATTCATTTTAACAACTGCAGTGATTCACTTAACAAATGTAGCAAGAAAAGTCATAAAATGGGGCAAAACTCATTTAACAAATTTCTCACTTAGCAACATAAATTTTGGGCTCAGTTGTGGTCATAAGTCACGGGCTACCTGTACTTATTTTTATTTATATCCTGCGTTTATTATTTTTATAAATAACTCAAGGCAGTGGACATATCTATTATTCTTTCCTCCTGTTTTCTCCACAACAACAATCCTGTGAGATGGGTTGGACTGAGAGAAAATGATTGGCCCAAAGTCACCCAATCGGCTTTCATGCCTCAGGCAGGACTAGAACTCATGATCTCCCACTTTCTAGCCTGGTGCCTTAACCATCACACCAGACTGGCTCTCTTTTAATGCCTCCCCATTAGAATAGTCCTTGCAGTTTTCTTGGCAAGTTTTTTTCGGAACTGGTTTGCCATTGCCTCCTTCCTAGGGTTGAGAAAAAATGACTGGACCAAGGTCATCCAGTTGCCTTCAGTCTCCTGGCTTCTAGTTTGGTCATTAACCACTACACCAAACTGGCCCTCTGTTCTAATCTTAGCTTCTAATGTTATTTTCAAATTTGGCAGGAAAACATTTCCCACCAGAATTATTTACAGAAGTTCCCACTATACCTCTGCACTTGGAATAAAAAGCATCCTAGTTAAAGTTGGCTCCTAATGACTTGACGGATATATCCATGTAGTTTGAATGTGGGTCGCCACTGCCTTCTTAAAACAAAATGCTTATAAATCAAGCTCAACTTCTATAGTTTTCTTAGTACTGTACAGAAGGGAGGTGTCTTTGCCTTCCTCCAGGATCTTCTTGCAGTCTATAGGTTTGGACATTCCATATAACCAGGGATGACCCTGCTTAGGTTTTGAAATTGGACAGTTTTGACTAGGAGCTGCAATCTGTTCAGTTTGTCACCTTTGACTGAGATGATGATGCTATTCACGTCTTACTGAGAAATGTATCTGGATGACCCTCTTTTCCAGTCCTATTTCCTTTTTTGCTTACCCCACCCCCACCCCACATTTTGGCACTTTCTAAAATATTTCTCCCAGAACACCATGCCATTTGGACTATATAATGGTTTTTGAAATGCTGATATTTTAGCATTGTTATAAGCAGTACAGATAGTCCTTGACTTACAATCACTCGTTTAGTGCCCTCGTGCATACAACTTTACTTGGATTTATTTTTAAAAAATGGTAGATCAAACCCTGTGCTTGGAGATGGTATTTTGAAGTATAGTGCTCTTTTTATTATAACTAAGAATATGCTACCAATTTCAGAAGACCACAGCCTTTTCCCATGATCACGTGATTGCATTTTGAGTGTTGGATAACCAGATCTCATTTATGGCCATTTGCAGCATCTCTTGAGTACAAATCTATGATGTGTTTTTTGCCAGATACCAATGTTTACTTCCAGTTTCCAGCAAAAACAGCCATTGTGAACAATGGGTTCATTCAACAACCACAGTGTTAGCTTAATGACTGTTGCAAAAAAAAGTTTTAAAATTAGGTTGGTCACATGATCTGCTTAATAAAAAGTATGACTTATGACCATAATTCTGGGCTTAATTATGGTTGTAAATCACAGACTACTTTAGGCAAAATGGTGAGGGAAGCCTAGTATGAATTTTGGCTATTGTTCTTGCAAGCCTGATCAATTTTTTTAAAAAAAATTGTAATCACCCTTCTCGATACCTTACACAGTTTGAGAATCCCTCCATCTACTTGGATTCTGCATAATGCTTTCTAAGGTTTATCTGTCTAAATATCACAACTGACTTTACTTATAATTGCATTTATCACTGGAAGCTTTTCTGAAAAAGTTAAATTCTAAAAAGCAAAGAAAGGAAAGTGTTCTACAGTTTGAAATTATGCAATGTGATTGTGAAAGCACTTACAACTTTTCTCCCACTCAGAGCTGGGATCTGTCTTATCAAAACACCCTCCCAGAGTAACACATTAAGATGTATATTTATGACTCAAAACTCCATGAAGTACATTTTCTTTTACTGAACTTTGACCTCATGTAAAAGAAAGTGGACTAGAGGCGGTCCTAGAACATTCAAATTGCAATCTGGTTATAATTTCTTTCCAGCTAAGAGTAAAAGTACAAATCTAAGTTATGCCGCTGCTTGTTATAACATTAATCTTTGCAGTAGGAAGTAAGGTAGCAAAACAATTATGTCTGTTTGTTTAACATCAAGTTGCTAATCGTTCATGCAATTTAAGCAGAAACCAAAATTTTGCCAATTATAAAATTAAACATACTTCATAACAAAACTGTCTTGATTAATATGCATTAATTTTTATGTGGGTTTTATGACTATAATTTATACTATAATATCTAGCATCACGTGTTCTGTAGTGCAATCCTACATTCTTAGGAAAATGAGATTGTACACTACCCAGAATCCTTGTTTGAAGGAGATGAGCAGTTCAAAATTATGAAAAATCAATGAATACGTAAATAAAATGTTTTTCTTTGTTTTTGAATAAGACAAAAAAAAACCCCCAAAGATTTAAAAGAAAATAGAAAAGGCTTAATACTGGGAAAAGTGGAAGGAAAGAGAAAAGGATGACCAGCATCAAGGTAGATAGACTCAGTTACACTGGCAATAAGTATACAATTTGGAGATTTGAAAGAGCAGGTTAGGGACAGGTTGTCATGGGAAAAATATCTATCTGATCACAGTCAAAAATGACTTCATGGGAAATAATAATAATAATAATAATAATAATAATAATAATAATAATAATCATCATCATCATCATCATCATCATCATCATCATCATCATCATCATCATCATCATCATCAGAGAAGAGAAAAACTGGAGAAAATCATAAAATATAAAGACCTGCAGATAGAAATAGAATGAGTGCAACAAAAGAAAGCAAAGATAGTACCAATAATAATAGGCTCCTTGGGGGCAATCCCAAAACTTCTGGAGCACCAGTTGAACAGCATCAGCATGGACAAAATCATCATCAGACAATTGTAAAAGGCAACTTTACTGGAACTGTGACAATCCCTTTAACACCATCAAATAACAACATCTGTCCCTCCCAAGTCCTTAGGAAGGACTCAGTAGATGAATAAAAATGCCAAAT